TCTCTCTCTCTCTCTCTCTCTCTCTCTCTCTCTCTCTTTCTCTCTCTCTCTCTCGCTCTCTCTCTCTCGCTCTCTCTCTCTCTCTCTCTCTCTCTCTCTCTCTCTCTCTCTCTCTCTCTCTCTCTCTCTCTCTCTCCCATCACTCTTCTCAAACGTTTCTCAACTCGTCATCATCGATTTGCATGTCCACTGTCTCCAAAGCTAGACCTATAGTGCGGCTAAGTGCGGTCAAATATTACTGGCGCAACTTATTGTACATTATTATTTAAACTTGATAGACAGTCCAGATTTTGCACAATGACTTGTATCAATTAGTCTTAACAGATCAGTATTTTTTGTAAAGGGGCGGTTCAAATATAATCTTACACCTTTTTGGGACTCTTTGACCCCCCCTCCCCCCCCCCCCCTTCTTGCACTTTTCTTACATTTGACCCCCCCCCCCCCTCTCAATCCCTGTAGTATTTGCCTACATTGTTCACTTATAATAATAATTTGACATTTGTATCGCATAAATCCGTGTTGTAATCATTTTTACATAATATTCATGAAAACCATGTATACACACAAGCACATAATACATTGTAATATAATATAATATGCAATTCTACATTCACCAAAACAAAATAACTGAGTAAATGATTCAAGCAAAATATTTTATACACTCTTTCTTACTAATAAAAGGAAAAAATTCGGACTCGAGTTATTTTCAATTGCGCCTTAAGTATAGGTAAAACATATTACAGTGGAAGTCTGATGAATAAAGTCAACACCTCGGGACCGAAAAAAAAAGTTGACTTTGAGCAAAGATGACTTAATCCATGTACTTCTGGCTATTGAAAGTTGAAGATGACTGCTGCAAAGTTACAAAGCACCTAGTCACAAGGTCTTAACTCAATTTCTGAGAGTAAAATTCTGAAGTTGTCACCGAACAAGAGACAATGAGTGAACAAAGTAATTGGAAGTATGAACACCACAAGGTCACGCCCTAAATATCTCTTCTCAGATGAATTTGTCTTGGGATTTAGCCCCAAATAGTTTAATTTACGCAAGGGTAACTCTCAAGCGGTTGACTGTATCAGAAATACTATTACTTGAAACAAAAAGGCAAGAAACGGGACCACAGTGACGTGTTGACAGTGAGCAAGAGTTGTCTTTAAGCAAGTTGATTTTATCAGGATTCCACTATACCATCCTTATGCTAAAAACAAAAAGTTAAATTACTTATCATCAACAAAGGCAGTGTTCATCATTAGATCTATTATATCAAACCTATTTTTAAAAACATGGGCATCTGCTGAGCTGTCCTCCAAATCTAGGCCCTCTTCCTGCTTTTCTGTTTCTCCTCTTCCTCCTCTTCTTTCTCTCCCTCCTCTTCTTTCTCTTCCTCCTCTTCTTTCTCTTCTTTCTCTTCCTCCTCTTTTTTCTCTTCCTCCTCCACTTCTGCCTCCGTCCTGTGTAAAGCCCTGTGCCTCTTCAATGCTGCAATACTTGGAAAATATTTTCCACATCCCTTGTAGCCTCTGCACACTCTTTGACCTGTGCAGCCTTTCTTGAATAAGATCACCCTTTTTTTCCTTGTTATTTTTTTCACCTCATAAAAGTGTAATATTACATTAGTTCAAGACCCCCCCCCCCCCCCCCACTTTTTTTTTTTTATCCTTTTCTTTAACGGAGAGTCAAAGTGACCCTCCCACTCCCCGCCCTTTCAAGCTGGAAGATTATATTAGAACAGCCCCAAACACTTGTTAGCTGTATTCTAGAAAATTCCTTTATAAACTAATAAAATAATATCCGAGTGGGTGATCTCTACAGATTTCAAAAGGTTTACAGTGGGAGAATTTAAAGGCGTCTGTAATTTTTTTAAATTTGTTTTTGGGGTTGAGGTTTTTGTTGTTGTTGTTGTTGCTGTTGTTGTTGTAGTTGTTGTTATTGTTGTTGTTTGTTTGTTTGTTTGTTATCCTGACACTGGCTTTATTGAACGTATGTTTTAAGAACCTATAGTGCAAAAAATGCGTTCATTATAAAATTCATTTCTGGTAACAAGTTTTGCCACTTTAAAAAGTGTCATTGGTAAGCTGTGGCGTAGGCCATACATGCGCAAGCGAAATGTGTGTGAGAAGCGGGAGGTGCTGTGAACAATCCCATTTTCCTTGTGAAAGACACGTACACTTTTAGTGCTAGAAATTGTTTTACGGCACTTGCAACACAATAAGGTCATATAATTGCCGAAGATTAGAGGTGTTACAAGAGAGTAACATACACAAAAGGGAAGGAGGGGAGATAAAGACGATAGACGTTAGACAGCAAAGAAGTATCAAACCACATCAGAGCACCAGCCAACCACCCACAACGTATACTTTATACAAATTTATGAAGAACAGTTGTTGGTTTTTCATACCAAGCTTTGGGTTGTTTTAGCATTGCACTTCCGGTAAAATAAATCCTTAATATTTCACACTTAAAATATAAGCTGACTACTATCTCATACGTGAAATAGAAAAATTTGCATAAATTACTCTGCGCATATATTTGCCATCTAAAATTCTGTAGTCAAAGTATAGTCTTGAATCATATTTTCTAAACCGTGCAATGTTATGGAAGCCGGTCTTTTGCCCTCTGTAAAAACTTCGGTGCAAAGCGCGCTCACCTTACGACCCAAATGAAGTGCCAAACTTTAGGTCTAGATTTAGTC